GATATTATACAATCTTTTGATTTCATATTTAAAAAAAATATATAATTTAGCTGAAATGGCCATCAATTAATAGATTAATAAATTTTTTATTTGAAATATAAAAATGAATTATATTATTATAAAAACTATTAAATTAAGACTGTATTATAATACATAAATATTATAAAAAAATTATATTTTTATATTATTATTATTATATTAACAATTAAAGAATTATAGTTTTGTAATGTTTCTGAAATATTACAGGCATATTACTGATATCTTGCAGGCATATTGTTAATTTACATTTTTGTAACATCTCTGCAATATTACATTGCAATCTGCAATATTGCAATATCGTTCAATCTTTTGTGTTATATGATGATAAGATTCTAGTCTAGTTAGCAATCCAGCAGGAAAACAAGTATTGCAGCAGATTTTAAGGTGTCTTTTTATGCAGGGTATCAATCATGAAACTTTTTTCCTAGGATTAAAAAAGAAAAGTGAAAAATTTCTCCATTAATTTCAATTGTTAAAGTTTTCATTTTTCACTTTGCATCCTAGGGATAAAGTTTCATGATTAATACTTTTCTCGACGCTCATTTTTGGTGTCAATTTTGATAATGTGACCTATTTTGACTTGACGCAGAAAATGAGCGTCGAGCATCAGCATGAAAATGACGGCATGAAAAGGCATCTTTAGTTACGAATATACCATGTCTAATTGTATCATAGATTACATCATGATCTATGGTCTGTGTACCGGTTCTTTGTAGGGCAACATTTTTTTGTTGTCAAAACTTAATTTTTATGCGAAAACGTATCGATTGGGTGTATTTTTATCAAAATTTGAAGTGATCGGGATATTCCTCACATTCCCCTCCTCTGAAATTATTGAGTTAGAACAGTTATACATGTATAACGGAATATTATAGAGAAGAATAACATAACCTATACTCGAATAAAAAAGGCACGACATCCGGAATTTAAACGTTAATAATGCCGGTTAGTTATGTAATCGCGTTTAAAGTGTTCCCATAAAATGTCAGAAAAATTAATTTTAAATTTTTGTATTTTTTTTAAGAAGAGTGCTAGAAAAACAAGACGTCAGCTTTTAGCAGAAAAGGCAATGACGCAGCGACAACTGATAAACAAAGCAAATGCCTTGGCAAACCCTCTGGAGACTTTGCATAAATTCCACGAGTATATCACGAAGGATAATAACGTGATCAAGCTTGCTTGCGTTAAGGCAAAGGATGCACCATCAGATTGTATATCGTGGATCTTAGATATTATGGAGAGGAACATGAAGAAAATGTATGAACAGTCTAGTTGGGGCTGGAACGCAACTGAGAAACAGACGGAACTAACCGAAGAAATGGCATGGTACTTGATAGCATCGTGTGATGACAAATTTCTTGGCTTCTCACACTTTCGATTTGACATTGACAATGGCGACGTGGTATTATATTGGTGTGTATATTTCTATGTGTATATTGCCTATACTCTCTTCTTGTATGCGTGCATGTCACACTTCTTTGTGGGTACTTAATAAAAAAATTAAATTCTTAATATGAGATATTATTTCCTTTATTACGAATAATGTCTGTTAAATGTTTGTGCATGTTTATCTATCATTGGATTGCTGTCTGTGGAATTTGGCATTAAATTCCATAGACAGTAATCTGATAAGACATAAACATACATCAACGTTTAAGGTATATTATTTATTTAATAGAGGCAACATCTTATACTAAAAGTTAATTTTTTTTATCATGTACCTACATGGGCATTCACACGCATGCAGGCATAAGTAAATCCAACTGTGCAAAACCTCCACATGATACGTTTCCGGATAATGCTAATATTATTAATGATCGCTACAGTACAAAAATAGAATCAGTAGAGCGATTGCCAAAGTCGTACTTAGAAAAACATTATGTAAAAAATGTCGCCACCACTTTGTTTTGGCATAACCACTTATTAAAATTGGTAAATTCTAAAGTTCAAACTTACGATAATATCATAGGGTTTCTTTCTCTTTGTGAATAGATTAAGTTAAATATTAAAACATATAATTATTTCGATTTTCAACTTTGCTTAAATTTTTTTATAAGAAGCTTATTAGTATCTAAAAAATCATGAGAGCATTTTAAAACCTGTAAGAAATTAGCCCCTCTCTCTTCACTTTTGGAATTAACTTCCAAGAATTGTGCTAGGTTTGTCCTACATTGTGTATAAATATTAAAGTCAAGATACGAAAAATACGTTAGAAAATAAAAAAAAAGATTTTTTTTAGGCCAGTCCCCACTTTATGGTTTTTTTCATGATTGTGCTAAGTTGTGCTAAATTGTGCTAATATTGTGCCAAAGTGGTTTACATAATGATAATAATAGAAGTTATAATAAAAAAATTTTGACAGTTTGGAATAAAAATGACATAATAATCAGTTATTCAAATATCATAAAATTGTATATCTGAGTTGTAGCCCTTTTTTTTAAGATGAAGAAAATCTTCTGACCCCCTTCAAAGAGCGATGGTCCCCCGAAGGAGATCATCCCACCATGAGGGGGAGCCACCCCTGGGATTGGCCTTACCTACTAGTGTGGGATTCGATGCCCTTGTCCTCTTCTGAAGAGGAGATTCAAGGACATCGCATAAACTAAAAACTTAGTTTGTCTATTGTCTGGTAGACAAACGAGGAAAGGCCTGAAATCACCGATCGGTATTCTTCCAGTTCGCCATCAGTCTGTGGCGCTCGTTGGCGTCACTGTTTTTGCTAATTTAGCTATTTTGTTGCGGTGGATTGACCGTCGCTCTTGGGTCATCGGCAGGAAAACTTGATGTTGCCGGGACTCTATCCAGGGCGGCGTGCCCTCCCCCCCCCTCTTATGGGGGACGAGGGCCGTCGTGCTGACTTCTCTGCGAGACTGGAGGAAGGGTCCAACTCTCCTCCCGCCTTTCTCTTTCGGCCTTCTTCTGTTGCATCATACTGTCATAGAAGAAGGAAATCATCTCCTAGTTTCCGTCCACTTCAACCATCTTTTGGATAATGTTCGGGAGGTCATCGCTTATCTTCTCAGGTACGGCGCTCCACGTGCCACGCTGAATATTGTACCAGCGTCGTATTCACTCCGGTGTCACAATGATGACACCGGAGTGTCTCCTCCCTGCCTATATGGTGTAGAAATTCCCCGAAGTACCCGTGACCGGAGAGTACCTACATCGTGTGGAAGGAAGTCGGTCTACCCACTGCCTGAGACACGGCTGGATTGCCTCGACGGTCCGGTGGCCGGGGGAGGTAGGGTTTAGGAGAAACCCCACCTTTTTTCCCACTTTTTGATAGGGGACTTCCTCTCCCTTTCGTGAGTTGTGCTAGCCTAGCATAAGTCAGCACAATTTTCAAAATTCTTGACACAACGATATTAAGAGCACTTTAGTATTGCGCGCAATTCTTTTTTGTCCATAATAGTTTTGTAATTCTTCGACGTCGACAATACTGTTATATCTGACAAGGAAACCGTCGAAGATGTTTCTCATCGATTTTGATAGGTTTTAGACATGTTTTTAATTATAAGGATCGTCGGTGATGCACGTTCACTAAGTTATTAGGAGTATAAATAAGTTTCCGCCGTTTTTTATCAAAAATTGGACATTTATTGTGAAAGAACGGTACCTAATGTTTTATTCGAAGTATTGTCTATCCCTAGCCACTACTTTTTCCTATCTTTCTGGCAGCATACGGATACCGCGTCGGAAAAACGCTTCATCTTTTGAAGCTATCCACGAATCGACCCAATTTTTGGTATCTTCATATGATGTGAAGTGTTGCTCAGACAGGCCATGCGCCATCGATCGAAACAGGTAGTAATCAGAAGGAGCAATGTCTAGTAAATACAGCGGGTGGGGTAAAATTTCCCAATTGAGTGTTTCCAAGTAGGTTTTGACCGGCGCCGCAACATGTGGACGAGCATTATCATGCAGAAGAATAACTTTGTCGTGTCTGGAGTAGTAGTGGGCGCGTTTTTCCTTGAATGCTCGGCTCAATCTCATCAATTGTGTTTGGTAGAGAGCCCCAGTAATGGTTTCGTTCGGTTTGAGCAACTCATAATAAACGACACCTAGATGGTCCCACCAAATACACAACATGAGCTTTTTCCCATGAATGTTCGGCTTGGCTGTCGATGTTGAAGCATGGCCAGGTAGTCCCCATGATTTCTTCTTCTTTGGGTTATCGTAGTGGATCCATTTTTCATCACCAGTGACTACACGGTGCAAAAGACCCTTTCGTTTATGCCTGGCAAGCAGCATTTCACATATGAAAAATCGGCGTTCAACGTTCTTTTCTCGGCTTCAGTTCATATGGAATCCAATTTTCTTGCTTTTGAATCATTCCCAACGATTTTAAGCGGTGTGAAATTGCTGGTTGAGTCATTCCTAATGTAAGTGCAAGTGCTTCTTGCGTTTGGCACGAATCTTCATCCAATAATGCTTCCAATTCCGCGTCTTCGTACACTTTCGCCCTTCCGCTACGTTCTTTGTCTTCGACGTCAAATTCACCGTTCTTAAACTTTTGAAACCACTCACGGCAACTTCTCTCACTTAAGGCAGCCTCACCATATGCTTCTACAAGCAATCGATGCGCCTCAGCTGCAGATTTCTTCAAATTAAAGAAGTAAATCAAAAGCTCCCGCAAATGATGTTTATTCGGCTCAAAACTCGACATTTTTGTACGAAAAAAGATATAAAATGCTGATGCAAAATCGTAATATTTCAAGGTTATGTTCTTGCCAGATGTCCAACCTTACAATATGACGTTTTATAGCTGACAATTTTAACTATAACATACTGGTAGCGCCATTGTTTGTCAAACGGCGGAAACTTATTTATACTCCCAATACTATCAGTGTAAAGCAAAGGCACTGACGTTGTCATCACAATATTATTGCTAAAAGTACTTGAAACTCCCAATCGTTTAGAAAATATAATTACCCAATGCAGAATCCATCTATTATAGAGTATAAACAAAATATTAAACTCATATTTTTTATCAGCATATCTCAAGGTTAGGGAATGAAAACACTCCCTCGAAAAAAAGGATTTTATCGTTTTTAGCAAATATTTTCGAAAAGAATTTGATATTAAAAAAAGTGAATACATCATTATATAGAGCTATAGCATAAAATATCATAAAACTTTTGTATTAAACATTTTTTTACATATCGCATAGTTTCGAACATATTTGCTAAAAACGATAATTTTGAGAAATTGTTTTATCCCCTAAACCTTGAGGTATGCTGATAAAAAAAATATGGATCTAATATTTTTTGTATACTCTACAACAAATTTAAAGTCCAATCGGTGAAGGACGGCTTCGACGATTCCCTTGTGAGTTGTGCTAGCCTAGCCCAAATCAGCACAACCTTCAAACTCGTCGGCACAATAATAATGTTAAGGACACTTTACTCTTGCACATGGCCCTTAGCGTTCGGCTTTTTTGTCCATAATTAAAAATTGACGGTCAAATGAATTAAGATGCCTTTAATCGTTGTGCCGAGGACTTTGAAGGTTGTATTGACTTGTGCTAGATTAGCGCATTTGAGATATGCAATTTTATGGTATTTGAATAGCTGAGCGAATGTATCATTTTTATTTCGAATTGCTAAAAATAATTTTTTATCGTAACTTCTATTGTCATTATTTGAACCACTTTAGCACAATATTAGTATAATCTAGCACAATCATGAAAACTGAAAAAATTGCAAAGTGAGAGGCTGGCCTCTCACTTTTAAAAATCGTTTTTTTTTTAATTTTCTAACGTATTTTTCATATTTTGACTTTAATATTCAGGCATAATGTAGCACAATTCTTAAAATAAGTTAGTTTCAAAAGTGGAGGGGGAGGGGGTTAACTTCTTACAGACATTTTAAAGAGAAAACTTTGACGGTTTTTTTTGTTATTTTACGAATAGCGTGGATTACTCCGTACGTCTTTTATGAACAATCAATATCATAAAGATATATTTTTTCTTTAACGTTGAATAATTCTCGGTGAAGAAAAATCGTACAACTCAACAAAATCGCTCAACAAAAAAGCAAATTAAAGGTAATGAAAGGTTATGCTTTCGAAAGATATAAGCTGAATTTGTGTCCGCCTCCTTATTACGGCACAAAATTTTGCAAGATTCGTAAAAAATTTCGAAATTTTATGGATTTTTTTATAACCGTATATCTCCATAACAATTTCAAATCAAATCATTATTTAGAGTACAGATCTGAAAAATAAGGATTTTAAGTTTTAAAATACTTTTTCGTTTTCATCATCTCATTTTGACCATTTTTGTAAAAGTTACACTTATTTCAAATTTATCCATTTTTTGAAGACATGAGAGGTGATGTTTTAATTTCCGCGCGTGTGTACTTACATCCCGTAAGTTTTTGCCAACCGCTTTTGTATAAATAGAATGGACTGAACTGAATTGAAGAATCCTTTACCATTTTGCAATTTTCGCAATGGTTAACGAAATATTAATTACTAAAAATTGCCGAATGTTTTTAATAATTTTTTACTCAAATACTATCAACTTTACAGAAAAACAGCGAGAGACAAAAATTGTTTTTTTTTTCTCATAAAGTTATGAGAATTTTTTCAGAATTTTTTAATACCATATTTTCTTATGTTGGTAAAAATAAGAAAATAGAGGACTAAAAAGTTGATAAAAAATTATGAAAAAATTTGTAGAGTTCTATGAGAAGAAAATAAACAATTTTTGTCTCTTGCAGTTTTTCTGTAAAGTTGATAGTATTTGAGTAAAAAATTATTGAAGATCAATATTTGGTAATTTTTAGTAATTAATATCTTGTTAAACTATTGCGAAAATTGCAAAATGGTAAAGGACTTTTTGACTCAGTTTAGTGCGCTCTATCTATATAAAAGCGGTTGGCAAAAACTTACGCGACACTATATATATAAAAGTATACTTTATGTAGTTTTACATATAGTGTCAAAATTTGGAGCTTTGTGCTCCTACGCAATGTGTCAGAATATTTGATATCATTAAATGTTTTCTAGCTACTTAAATAATCGTAGTTGCAGAATTGATTTGAGAGAATAACTTTAATATTAGTGAAATAAGTCGCAACAGTCACGTGTACAATCTAGATATAATCAATTAGCTTAACGAGCGACAATTATGTTTCTGAGAATAAAATATTGAATCTAGTAATGTGCGTATTGTTGATAATATTAACAGTTTTTCATCAATTTTAGACACATACTTATCTAAATAATATTAAATGCTAGTCTGTCCTCGCCTGTGAGCTCACCGGAGGCCGCCGGAAAAAGGGAAGATCGGAACAAATTCCGCTAGTAATATCGCAAATACGCTGTTCGTCTGTTGACGAACTATTCTACATACTACAGGAATCAAATAAAAAAATCAAACTTGAAACGTAATTATTTTCAACATATAATATTGTATTATAAAGAAAAACGAATTGCGTTAAGCGAATCAATCTTGAGGCTTTTATGAAAAAGCGACAATTTGATTGGCTACAATCGACTACATGATCGAAAGATCGATTTCTGACACTCTTTGATATCTAGTACCATAGGATTAGGAAAAAGAATCCTAATTCTTTACTAACAATAAGTTCTTAAGATGCTGTTCTATGATAGCCAGAATTTCGGAAAACAGAATCTTGGAAAAGTAATAGAGTGGGGATCAACCAATCTGAATTATTGGTATGCATTACTGTTTGTCTGCAAATATACGTTAAATACAAGATTATCAAAATTGAATTTCTATACGTATAAAAGAAATTAATTATTAATAAATAATTGTTCGATAAGTATTCATTAATATATAAGTATTCATTTTTCCAGTATATAAATATAATCATTTATATCGTTTTGAGGATAAAATTGCGTGCTTGTCGGTCCGAAATTTTTGTGTCTGGATTCCTTGGAATATTTCCGAAATTGTGAAAAAACCGGAAAATTTATTTTAAATATTTTATGAAAAAAGATAATTATTATTATTATAGTAGAAGAATTCGCAAGAAAATAAAATTTTGATATTTTTTTTTATTATGACAGAAGATAATGAAAGAATCTTTTAAATTAAAAGACGGTTTGAGATTTGAGTAATAGTCCAAAAAAGTCTCTCCCAGCCATGAAAATTTCGGGCAACAAGCACGCAATTTTATCCCCAGCGATATAAATGATTATATTTACATGCTGAAAAAATGAATACTTATATATTAATGAATATTTAACGAACAATTATTTATTAATAATGAATTTCTTTTTATATGTATGTAAAAATTCAATTTCGATAATCTTGTATTTTACATATACACAGTGCGACAAATATGTTCCCGGACACGAACCACATCTCAGCAACCAGTGGCAACATCTGTGCGTTCAAACATGCATTTGAAAGGTTTAACATTTCCCTATCATCTGTCAAAGTTTCATTCATTTTGGTTGACATATAACGAAGACATCACAGTTCATGTTAAACAAGATTTTGGTCGAGGTAGAAATTTTAATATGGAACAAAGAGCAGTGATTAAATTTAACGCAAAACTGATCGCTTCTTAATGTGTGTGGAACAAACTTCGCACAAACCTTTGTTTTACCCAAATCTTCATGTAATATGGTTCGAATCGTTTCTCTATTGATATTTAAAGCCTCCTCCATCATTTTTAGTGACGCATTGCGATCGTTTGCAACAAAATTACATACTTTTTCGATCATTTCGGGTGTTCGAATCAAAATTGGCCGTCCTGATTTTTTGTCAATCTTTAAGGGTCTCTCTGCCTTCCAAAAAACGCTTATGCCACTCAAAAACAGCTGTACGACCTAGACATTGATTGCCGTAAATTTGTTGCATCAATCGGAATGTTTCTGATGCACTTTTACCAAGTTTTGCGTTAAATTTAATCACTGCTCTTTGTTCCATATTAAAATTTCTACCTCGACCAAAATCTTATTTAACATGAACTGTGATATCTTCGTTATATGTCAACCAAAATGAATGAAACTTTGACAGATGATAGGGAAATGTTAAACCTTTCAAATGCATGTTTGAACGCACAGATGTTGCCACTGGTTGCTGAGATGTGGTTCGTGTCCGGGAACGTATTTGTCGCACTGTGTATGTGCAGACGAACAGTAATTCCAATAATTCTGATTGGTTGATCTTTACTGTATTACTTTTCCGAGATTCCGTTTTCCATAATCCGACTATCATGGAACAGCATCCTTAGTCAGTATATTTCACAGTCCATCACAGAAACCGTTCAAATTATGCAAATAAATAGACTTGAAATGTATAGAGTAATCGTAAAAATAACTGTTTAAATTGTTAGTGGCAAAATGTAATATTACTGTTAACATTACAGAAAAATTGACATCGTACTAATTCATTACCGAATAAGAAATAACTATAACAGTAATGTGTTTATTTTTTTTAACTGTATATATTTTATATAAGATTACGTACACATGCGTAAAAAATAACATTTATTATGTAGAAAAAATTAACTATTTATGTATATGTAGCTACGAATTACAATTGGAACCATCGACCAGGCGCAAGGGACTTGGTCGCTTTATGATGTCAACTCTGGAATCCATGGCTTATCACAATCAAATGATGAAAGTTGTTTTAACCGTTTTCAAGCACAATTCGTCAGCAATACAATTTTTCTACGCTCTTGGGTAATGAATTTTTACTAACGCTATTATAAATATACAGATTAATACGATTGGTCCTTGCATTTAGTTCTTTGCTAAATCTAAATATAGAAATCAATTATATTAAAGAATCCCTGAGCACTCACTGATCAGGTTTCTCTGCTGAACGCAACCAATGAGAATGAACGCAATCTGTGCCCGCGGCTCGTTTAAACATTTGAGTTCTCTTATATTTTCTATACTATTAACATTAGCTTCTTAAAGCGTATTTTTCACAAAAATCGATCTAGATGACTTTTCTTTTTTTTTTTTATTTGTTTGAGACTTTATACGTCTCATTTAAACAATTAAGGTAAATTGTTAAATTAAAAAAGATTAAAAGATGAAAACAACTATTGCATTTTTTTAATTATTAAAAGTGTTAGTAGTATGTTTGGGGGACAAACTGAGTTTAAAACATGATGAATTTCATATTTTTATTAATGTGACTGTTTACATTAACATTACATAATAATTAATAATTACACTAAAATCACTCTTAGGATCACTTTAACAAGCCTAACCGGCCGATTACTCTATTGGGATTGATCAATCACATTTATCATTTCGTTTGATAGTAGATGTGATTCGGCAATTCCA